TAAAAATTCTAATAACAATATAATAAAATACATATAAATATAAATTATTCCAATGAGAATGCAAGGAATATCATCGAATCATTTAATTAGACTATATTAACAAAATGCATTTCTCTCTCTTAGAAGTATAAAAAACTAAAGATGGAGAACTGCGTAGTAAAATAAGTCTACAGTGTAAGCAGCGCCATTTATACAAGATTTTTTAAAAATATTTATTTTAATTTATTGGCTATTCTTATTGTTTTTACTCAATAGTCAATACATATAATTTTCAAAATTCACTCAAATGATTGACAAAATTGTTAATATTTTGTTTTACGTAACTGTGATACAATATTTGTATTATGACAAAATAATCATAAAACAGTAATATTAGTTTAACACATTTATAATTATATTTACTGATGTTTGAAAACTTGTTTACAATTCGGTTTCATTAATTAGATTACTTATTTACTCGTATTTTCCTCATTGGCAGAAAATTTTACATTTCTAAGCCAATAGGTACATTTTGAATCGTACACTATGTCATAAAGAACTTACTTTGTGAATTTCGAAAACATCATAAACGTAGATAGGCTGAGACGCCTTCTCAAACTACAAATAAATTTTCAGACAACTGTGAATGTTTTTGAAAATGAAAAAAAGGTAAAAGTTATAACCAATTGAATTTCAATTTTTGTTGAAACTGAAATAATTTAAATTTTAAAATATAAGGTTGACCAATAAATCCATACGGATTTTTATAAGTAAATAAATGGTAGAAAACTGCATGGACTTATTGACCAACTAAATAATTATTTCCATGTTTTTATTACTTTTATTATAAACATAATAACTCAAACAATAAATAGAGATAAAAATTCTTGAACATACTTTAATTAATTTTGATTATGTAACTGTAATCAACGGTTAACTTAATCAGCAGTAGAGCCAATAGCAGAATTTATAACGTTGTGTCGTTCTTAACCTTTATTGTGATATACCAGTAATACTTAACCTATTTTTGTGATATACCATTAATACTTAGATTACACATCTTTTACAATAATTATTATTAAAAGTGATCAAATAATTCGTACACAATCTTATTGCTGTTTCTGTTAATTTCTTAAAGTGTATTGCATATTTAAAAAGTTAAGTTTTGTTGGCTACATTGCTGACAAGTTATTTGCCAATTAAATTTATTAACAATTAATTGAAATTACTTATAAATATATTTGAAAACTAATTCAATATTTGTATTAAATGTTTTTTTGGATAGCTTATAAATGTCGACTGATATATATAGATAATATCATTTTTAAATGTTTATTAATTGAAAAATAATAAAAATATATAAACAATTAAAATTTTTTTATTATATTCATTTATTTTCCATAAATTTATGACGTAAAAATTTAGTAACTTTAAATTGTATTAATAAATATCACACAAACTATTGTTAAAAGTACATATTGAATGTAGATGGCAAAGTTATGTCCCTCTAGAAGGTTTTCATATAATACGAATTCAAGTTAGGCATACGAGGTGTACGCGGCCATTATAGAAATCCTTTTTTCATTTTTAAACTAAGTGTCGAATATTAATAATTTATCTAACTTGTAAACTTTTAGCTACAGTGACAGAAAACCTCGTATTATTTTATATTTAAAATAAGCTGTTTGTGTGCTTTTTAAATAAAACAAAAAATTAAATTATTTCTGCCTATCAGTGCAAGTTCCTTTTAATATTAAAAATAGTATAAAATAAAATAATTATGTGATTTGCATTATTTTAAACTAATACAAAATACGAAAAGATATTTTCTTTAGAAAGTTGACCAAAATCTAGATAAGACGGCTTCACAAAAAAAATCCTATAAGAAGATGGCGGAAACAGAGGAGTTAGAGGTACGTAAAATATTGTTGTGAAAACTTAATAAATAATATGTAGATGATTTATCTATGGTAATTGAGGGTTAACAATCCACTGAAATACGAGTCTGTGATTTGCATCGTTGGACTACACATGTTGCCCTCTTGTAGTTTCAATTATTACTTGATTGTATATTTTGTATACTGACACGAAATATTGTTGGGTAGAAAAAACTGCTATTTAGTCACGTGCCTCATTCGTAAAAATGTTATTGCTGTGCAAACATATTATAATCAAACATTAATGATGGAAGGTAATCAATTTTAAATAGTAAAAGTTTATTATCGAATATATTTTTATTCATTACTGATAGCTAACCCAAAATTGTCACGTCTCAGAATGTCGTTTTATTTTAATCTATATATATAAATTTACCATAGACTTTTTACTAATCGTATATTTACTATTTTATGGTACTTTATTTTAATACATGTATATATAATATATGTATGTATACACGTATGCAAATATATATATACGTAGTATACATACACATACACATATATATATATATATATATATATATATATAGACACATCATACAATATCCTTAGCATGAATAGTAAATTTATTACAGTTTTTATAAAATCACAAAAAAATAATATATGAGATGTTAAAGATGTGAGATACAAATAATAATAAAGATAAGAATTTATAATTCCTGAAAATATATTTAGTAAATGTACTTATAAAAATTAATTTAATGTTTTAAATTTTTTTGTCTAGCATTTACTTTTTTTTCAATGAACATAATTTTATCATTTATTTTAAGATTAATAGAAATTATCCTATATTAAATTGTATAATACATCTAGCATGTTATTTTATATTCGGCATGGAAGTTGGAAAATGTAAACGCATGTACATGATTTGATTTTCATTGCAGAATATGGTATTAAGTTTCCGAGTATCTGAGCTTCAGATGCTTTTGGGTTTTGCTGGTAGAAATAAATCCGGAAGAAAAAACGAATTACAAGCAAGAGCGTTAGAATTATTACGTCTCAGATCACATCCAGTCCAGCTTAAAATACGAGAATTATACAAGACAATACAGTAAGTAAATTAAATGTTTTTCAATATTAATATTGATTTTATATTGTTTTGGTAACTCTTATTATTGTTGTTATTATTATTATTATTATTATTAATAGTATTTGAATTTATCATAATTTTTTCTTCTTATGAAAATACGTAAAACGAATCTTTCTAATTGAAAAGTTAAAAATACTACTAGCATATAACCCAAATATTAAAATGTATCGTATGTTGAACTTTATTCTTTTTAATTAATTTAGCAATTCATTAATTCAAGATGTGAGATGTGTGAAGTTTATTGACGTTAAATTAATAATTATTTCTTTAAAATAAATTATTTAAATATAACAAATAGTGTACATGCGTTCATACATATTTAAAGTGTATAAATAATTGATAANATATATATATATATATATATATATAGGCTGTTAAAAAAATATCATTCAATATTTATACACCATATAGAACATATACTGCGTAAAAAAAGTTCTACAATTAGTAAACATAGATCAAAATGTCAACCGTTTCTGAGATTTGAACATCTACATATATGTGCGTTTATATACTTTAAAAAATATAATTATATTATTTTATATAGAGCTGATCAATTAGCAGCACATCAAATGTACGTTCAAACGGATGGGACTGGTGATACTCAAATCGATCAAAGTATGCATTCTAGAAGTTATTATACAAGGTAAATACATTAATTGTTCTCTTCAGTAAAATATTTTCAATGTTACCAATGTAATTTGCTTATATAAAATATCTGTAGACAAGCTATCGGACAGCAGCAACAAGCACAAGGTGCAGTTGCTTCTGAAAAAGAACTTCCACCTGCTCATCAAGCTTCTTTACCTCAAAATCCAAGAACTACTGCTGTATATCAGTCTGCGGGCTATACAAGTGTAGCGCCACAAGTAAAATATTGTTATACATATTCCATATGGTCTATTATAATTCATATTAACTAATTTGAATTTATTATTTTAGAGAACAAATACACCATATAATCCATACCCCCCATATACACCTAAAGTACTGCCAGTACCATTACAGATACCATCAGGACAGTACCCTGTTCATCCGGATGTGAAATTAAAAAGATTACCTTTTTTCGATTTAATGGCCGAATTATTAAAACCATCAAGTTTAATGCCGCAAGGATCAGTAAGATTACAAGAAAATACATTTATGTTTCATTTAACACCTCAACAGTCGACTGACATAGCTAGTTCTCGGGATTGTCGTAATGGAAGCAAAATGGAATACATGGTACAGGTAAAATTACATTATTTTAGAGATATTTATAAATTATTTATATGTCCTTTTTAATTTCTTTTTATTTTATTTTGAAATATAAAATACAGGTACAGATGAGGTTTTGTTTGCAAGAAACATCATGTGAACAAGAAGATTATTTTCCACCAAATATATCTGTTAAAGTTAATGGAAAAATCTGCCAATTACCTGTAAGTAAAGTCCAAATACGTGATATATTTTTATATATATTAAACAATATAATTTATTAAAATAACAAAAATCTTTATTAGTAAATTACAATAATCCCTCTATTTACACGAACAATTGGTTCTCCATGAAAACAGCACGTAAATGGAAGCCATTTAAAATAAGTATCCATTTCATATTTTCAAATATGTATTTAGCTTTTATTAAGATAAAAAAAAATAAGTTTACATGATAACGAAATAAGATGCATTGAGAAATCCCTGAATTTGTTTTCTCATAATGTATCATAATAACATTGGAGCTCTAATAGCTCAAGTGCATTAAAGTGAATCTTTATAAATGGAGGGATTACTGTACAATGATTTTTAAAATCATATGATAACTATTAGATTCAACAGTTCATTATATTTATTTAGAATCCTATACCTACTAATAAACCTGGTGTTGAACCAAAACGACCTCCAAGGCCTGTAAATATCAGTCCTTTAGTTAAATTATCGCCTCTGGTGGGAAATCAAATTCATGTTTCTTGGTCATCTGATTATGGTAGACGATATGCAATTGCTGTGTATCTTGTAAGAAAGCTTTCGAGTTCAGAGTTATTAATAAGATTAAAGAATAAAGGTGTTAGGCATTCGGATTATACTAGGGGATTAAGTAAGTAAATGTATTACGAATGTATGAATTACAAATTAAATATTTAATCTTTTATCATTTTAAAATATTGTTTTTTATTATATATTTTAACATTAATATTTTTTCTAATCTTTAGTAAAGGAGAAATTAAATGAAGATGCCGATAGTGAAATAGCTACTACATCACTCAGAGTATCTTTAGCATGTCCTCTGGGAAAAATGAGGATGAATACACCATGTCGAGCATTAACATGTTCACATTTACAATGCTTTGATGCTTCCTTATTTCTACAAATGAATGAAAGAAAGCCAACATGGAATTGTCCAGTGTGCGATAAATCTGCATTATATGATAATCTTGTTATTGATGGATATTTTCAAGAAGTTTTACATTCAAAAAAATTATTACCAGATGTTAATGAGATACAATTGCTTCAAGATGGTTCTTGGGAGAATTTAGTTTTAAAAAAGGAAAAAGATAGAGAGAAACCAGAAACAAAAGTGACAGCCAATGTACAAGACCATAAAATCGACGTTGACACGGTTGATATAGGTAAGATATGATGATAAATTACATGATAAATTAGATATAAAATGTTTAATTGATATTTCGATGACATTCGGTTAGAACTTTTATACGCAGGATAAATAAAAGGAATCGATTGGTTAAAAAAAAATGAGGTTGCATTAAAGAATAAAGTGCAATTGCACTTGACAGGTACATCGATGTATCCACACAAAAAATAAGGTTGTAGGAAGTTAGAGTGTATTATGCGATATGATTTTTTCCTCTATCATTTTTCTTTATCTTTACTTAAAAAAGAGTAATAATCCGCCCCAGCTTCCAGAATTATCCTATATGAATATTTTATTTTAATTATTATTTTTATAATATATATATATATTTTTTTTTTTTTTAGATGAAAGCAGTCCTGCTGCGCCGGTATTAAAAGAAAAGAAACGTACAGTTCTTATTGATTTAATATCAGATAGCGAAGATGATGACGAAGATTCTATACCAACTCAAAGTACAAAAAAGCATCATATTAGTTCGAGTCCTCAAAAAAAATCTCCAACAAATTCTATAAGCAGTACAAGTGGACCATTAAGTTATATGGTAATCGATTTAGAATGATTGTCTTTAGAGGAAAAGTAATGACAGAAAATTCAGAAGAAATTTCTTTTTCCTGTGATCTGATTATTATAAAATTCATACATAATGTGAAAAAAACATTCAAAAATGTTATTTTGACATAATTCTAAATACAAGATTATTCATTTAATATTATCATTTATTTAAGCATTCCTTTATTTTATTATCTGATGTATATTTTATTTTATAGAAGCTCATTGTCAAATAACTTTATTAGTGTAATTTCTGTATTCAATAGACTTAAAAGTAAAGAATATCATTTTTCACTGTAATAATAAAAAAAAAAACGATATATTATATGAAAAATAAAGTTACCTTTCTATAAGTAAAGATTTCCTTTAATGGATGATCTCAAATCTTATTACAATAATATGTAACATGTAAACTATTTATTTACATCAAAAGCAAGAAGTGTATTAATTAATACATATACGGAAACTTGTTTTTTCATTATTTACGTATGTAATCACACACACACATACCTACATACATACATGTATGTATATATGATATGTGTACATGCGCATTCGCTTTGTATCTGTTTTTCAACTATTAATTACTAATAAAGATTTACAATTATGCATATTTTAGTGTATTGCAAACCTTTTATAAATTGATTTGGTTTTATCAGAAGTAATTAAATTATTCAATTTAAAATATTTATAAATTGATGTTTATCTTTAGAATAAAGATTGATTATGCAGTTAATATGTCTTCGTATTGGGTCTTATGTTAATAATGAAATTGTCTCAGAATTTACTCATCGGGTGATGAACCATCTTCCTTGGGCGGATACATATAATTACGTAATGATATTCCAGAAAGTCGTTGGTCCACAGGTTCTCTTGTATCATATAAGCTGGGAGCTTGAAATATAATGCCAAGTGTACCTCCAATACATGCAAATGTAAATATCCATAAAAAGAATCTATCTAAAACCATAGCTACAAATTTCCAGTCTTCTATTACCTATGAACATACATATGTACATTTAAAACATTTATATTATTTAGTATATAAAAAGAAATATTATTATATAATTATACTTCATTATCTTTATCTGCATCTTTTATATGTTGTGCAATAAAACGAACTCCTTTTAATGCTGATATCACATCTGCAGACAAATGTCTGGGCATAGTATTTTCACTGTCAGTAACTGTAACAATATTTCAATATTAACTATTATTAAATAGTTGATAACATTCTCTTATAAGATAAATAAATAAATATTAAATAATAGAATAATCCCCCCTGATATAAAATTAAGTCAAAAGTATACCAGATGCATGAGGTATATGTCGAGCATCGTCCTCTCTTATATTTTTGTATGTGGATGTAACATTTTCAAATCCATCTGTACCTTTCAGTTCTAAAGGATAATCACTCACGCTGTTGCAAAGTTAAATTGTATTTTACTATTCTAAAGATATTGTATTAAATATATTTTTTACATAAAAATAATATAATTTACTAATTTAAACACATACCTAGAATCAATTTCATTAGTGTATCCATTATCGATGTATGTATCATCATATTCAGGTGTAGAATATGGTGTTCTACGCATCATTAAAATTCTTGGCATCCAATTTAAAAATACTTGTCTTACCCAAGGTGACATATTGTGTGTTGAAGGAGATCTAAAATAATTTATTCATTTATATTTGTAATTATTTGACTTGTTTTAATATCATTTATTTTCCTTACCTAAAATGGACATTTAGAACACACACAGTGATCCAAATAGATAAAGTTACCAATATCATTGTAAATAATAAATATTTTCCAAGAAGTGGTATAGCTAATGATGTTGGTGGAATTATCTCAGCTAATAGTAAAAAGAATACAGTCAAAGATAAAAGAATGGAAGAACATAATGAGACCTAGAAAAGTAAATATAAAACATTACAGTTTATAAGTACTATATTTACATATATATATACTTAATAACTTTTTTATAAACTTACTTTTTCACCAGAATCACTTGGAAGATAAAAAACCAATACCGTAAGAAAAGTAATACCCACACATGGAATTATAAGATTTACAGTATAAAACAAAGTTTTCCTTCTCATTGTAATATTGAAAGTAATATCTGCGTTATTATATATAAGATTAAAATAATGACTAAATTTATTTGTTATATAATATTAATTGTTTCTTTAATGAAATAGATTAAGTAGCGAAAAGACTTGTTTACCAGAATATGGTTCAGAGCAACAAGGGTAGTATTCTTCATTACGAGCTGCAGGAACTTCAAGAATATCCCATTCAACTGATAAATAAAAATCAGTCAGATCTATACCAATTTTTACCAAATTGCTACCAGATTCTTGTGCCATATGCTTTAGATCAACCTGTTTGTAAGGATCACTTTTAAAAAGAAAATAACATTTAATTTAAAGTTAATTTAAATATATTAATGTGTGTAACAATATAAATGAAACATTTATTAAACTTTATGACCTGAATTCCATTATAAGTCCATGAACCAAATTTCATTATACAGGATTGTTCATCAAAGGGAAAATATTCAACATTAATTTCACAGGATGACTTGTAAATGGCTGGTGGTTTCCAAGACACTTCACCTGTATATTTTAGTGTAGCTTTTGTCATAAGTGTTACTTCATAATTTCCATCAGCACTGTCAAATAATAACAGTTTAAAAAATCATTTTCTTGTGTTCCATATTTTGTTCTCTATTATAAAAAAAAAAATCAATATGATATTTAAATAAATATAATAATAAAAATGACAACATAGAGCTTAAAATTCTGGATTAATTAAATAAAAGATTATATCTTTGATATTATTTACTTATTATATAAAACAATGTCTGGAAGCCATATATTTTCAGAAGGCACATATAACATTTCAACGCCACCATATTCTTCTGGATCCCACTGTAATTTGTAGTCAAACCATTTCTATCGAAAAGAAATAATAACATCAATCGTAGAATATTAAATAATAAATTATAATTAAACTATTACTTCGAAAATATACCTTACCTGCTCTACCCAGACATTAGTTGTCATCACTTGATTTTTCAAGTTCTATAAAATGTTAAAATAAATAGAAAATATCAATATACTTATTTATCCTTAAATGCATCGTTTTTTTATTGCTCTCTTGTATAATTTGAATAATAAGTTTGATATTATACCATCTCGATTAGTTGTGATAGTTTTAATCCCAGCCATACTGTCAGAGTTTCAGTGTTATTAATGACTGGTCGAATAAGTCTATTATAATTAGATAATAAATCATCATAAAGTCGTTTTGTATCTGGATTTGCTTCATATGTTTTCAAAGCTGCTGCACCTATTACAAAAATGAAATTCTTAATATTATTTTGTTTCTATCAATTGTATTTAGTAAATTACATTGTCGAAATGAATATAATAAAATTAATTTGCAATAAGATTCTTTTTTGAATCGAATAAACTTAGAAACTGACCATTCACAACACTGAAAATATTAAACACGATAAATGCAAGTATTTGCATCTTACAAGCTTTTGGCACGTACGAGTATAAATGGGTGGGGTACTTTGTGTACATTGAATATAAAACTTATAATGTGACGGCAGTTTTAGAATATAACTTAATTTATATAAAATAGGAATAAAATTATAAAACGTGCAATATTAAAAAAAATTAAACGTGATAAGCAGAACACGGGTATCCCGTAAACTACTATAAATGTAGCAAAGTGCCTTTAGATCGATATCCGAAGTTAGCGCCATTACCCCTACGTGCAAAAAGAAGTCAATGATTGGCTATAACAATTTACACAACTAATTCAAATTTTGGCGCGATCATGAACTATGTATTTCTTTAGAGTAGAGGTGAAAAATATTATACTTACAAGGTTTTGCTATATTTAACAGAACTTATATAGTAGTGAATTAAAGTTTCGTTTCTATATAATTATCATACCTTTTTAAAACATAAACATGAAATAACAAAAATTTTAATAAATGTATAAACATAGTGATAGATCTTTATAAGTTAAAGTTATATAGTTGGTTATAGTAGACATTAAAGAATATTTAGACATTGTTAATATTTAAGTATCAACTTTTCATATAATATTTAAATATAAACAAAAAAAATAATTATTATATTTTTAATAATTTTATTTGTATAAATGGCAAACGTAACAGATTATTCTAAGAAAGAAATAGAAAATAAACATTTGGAAGCAATAGAAAGAAGAAAAAGAATTCAATTAAAACGCACTTCTGAATGTTCTGTTGCTTTTCCTGTACCTGAATCTCAACATACTCCATGTAATGCTACTAATTCTGTAGTCGCATTAAAACAAAATAATTCTCAGGTTGGGCCTATACGGAAATTTAAATCAATTAATAGATATGCATCTAAGATACCTGTAACACCTAAGACACCTAAAAATTTTTTTGGTTCTGACTCTGTCAAAACAGCGAAATGCTATATGATTACTAATGAAAGATTTGTGGTAGAAATATCATCTTATTTATCATCTGTAATTGATGTATTTAAGACAATGAATAGTAGATCATATGGTAAGTTGTATGAAATCTTTGTATATACATTATATAGTATTTATATAAATTAATAATTATATAAATAATAACAAAAAGCAATTATATTTTAGACACAAAGACAAAGTTATGGAATTTTCATCTAAACGAATATGACAATTTAATAAGGAAGTTAATAGAATTAAAATCAAATCTTTCTATAAAACAAATACCAGCATCTGTTATACGGGTATTAATTTTATTATAAATATATTTATTTAAAAAAAAATTAGATATGCGATATTAATTACTTTTATATTTCTAGCTTTTCAAGAAAAATGACTGTTCATCCAATATAAAAACTTGCATTGATTTGTTATCAATAGATGAAACATTGAGAAGTACATTAATGCCTTTTCAAGAAGAAGGCGTCTGGTAAATATTGTATAATATTTTTTTACAATTGTTGTTTATAACGCATTTGTATTATGATATTTCAAATATTTTTTATTTTTTAGTTATGGCATTTCAAAGAAAGGTCGTTGTATAATTGCTGATGATATGGGATTGGGAAAAACAATACAAGCATTGGGAATAGCATCTTATTTTCAAGAAAGTTGGCCTTTGTTAATTGTAGCACCATCCACTGTTAGGTAAGATTATAAAATTTAAGGTGTCTCAAAAGTCTATTTACCGAAGAAAAAAAATCAAAAAATCAATGGTTTATTAATAGAATTACAATAATCTGTTTTTCATTTGAAGATATGAATATCTATTTATAGTGTTGTTAAAAAAGCATGTCGCTATTCCAAGTAGAAGCCAAAACAATTTAGAATTTATTATTTCAGTTAAATGACTTTTGAGAGAGACATTCTGTATAATGATTTTAAAATAATCTTGCAAAATAAATATTATTTATATTTACCTATAACTTTTGTAGATACCAGTGGTCTGAAGCTATTTATAATTATTTACCATCTATACCTGCACATTATATTCATCAATTTACCAATGCCAAAGATTTTAATAATGATTTCAAAATTGTTATAGTATCCTATGATTTATTGGCAAAATCAGAAGAATTATTTGAAAGGCTTGGTTTTGGATTTGTCATTTTGGTGTGTATTAGATTAAATATATTCAGTACATACAGCATCGTAAGTTATATTATGACATATTAATTGAAATACAAAAATAATTTTGTAGGATGAATCACACATTATAAAAAACAATAAGACTGTTAGATTTAAAGCTGTACAGAAAGTTGCATCTATTTCACAACATGCAGTTTTACTTAGTGGAACGCCAGCTTTGTCTCGTCCTATAGAATTGTATACTCAGATTAACCTTGTGGTTCCCAATTTTATGGGGTAAGTATCAAATTCAGATGTAATATAATAATAATAATAAAAATAAAATACTAATAATAATAAAAAAAAAAAATATATAATAATAATATAAAATCAGATAGGTCATATTATTATACTTTTAATGTTAATATAATTTATATACAGATTTACATAATGTTTCATTTAGATATCAAGAATATGGAATTCGATATTGTGCAGGAATTAAGAAACCCTTTGGCTGGGATTTTACTGGATCATCTAATATGCAAGAGCTACAATTACTACTGAAGTCAACATGTATGATTAGACGATTAAAAGCTGATGTATTAAATCAATTACCATCAAAAATAAGGTGATTTGTATGCATAAGATATATATTTATATTTATATTTATGGAAAAACTCAAAGATCAGTGATTTTTAGGCAGGTCATTATACTGGATCCAGCACTCATAAAACAAGATATGCAAAAAAAGAAAGAGATAGACAAGTCAATTTCACATGGCTTACAAGATCATAGTGCACTTCTTCATTATTATAATCAATCAAGTTTTTTAAAACTTAGAGCTGTCTGGTAAAACATTATTTATTATATTACGTTTGATATTTTTCATGTATAATACAATATTATTTTTTAATATTTTTATTATAATATTTTTTCAGTGATTATATTACTCGAATATTCTCGACTAAACAAAAGTGTCTCATCTTTGCTCATCATAAACATGTTCTAGATGCTATATGTGAAGTGGCAGAATTAATGAAAATAGGGTAATTGTCAGCGATTTTAAATTATAATTATGTCTCTTTACATTTATTTTTATAAATTAGGAATTATTTCATAGATTTATAAGGATCGATGGAAGTACAAATTCAAATAGAAGAACAGATGCGGTCAATAATTTTCAAAACGATAGCAATTGTTTGGCAGCTATTTTATCTATAACTGCTGCAAATGCTGGTATCACATTAACAGCTGCACGATTGGTAATTTTTGCAGAATTATTTTGGAATCCTGGAGTATGTATTACATCTGTTATATGTATATACTTAAATATATATCTTATATATTATCTTAACAATTTATTATTTTTATGTATTAATAAAGAATTTAAAAAATTTAGATTTTATTTCAAGCAGAAGATAGGGTACACAGAATTGGACAAAGCGATAGTGTTATTATTCAATATTTGGTGGCAAAACAAACGGCCGATGATCATTTATGGTCATTATTAAAAAACAAGATAAATACTCTGAACAAAGCTGGTCTTAATCAAAATAATTTAATGGACAATGTGGAAGTAACAGGCCAAAAAGTAGATTGTCATCAATTAAAACTAGATAAATTTCTAGAAATACCTCAAAATAACTCATTAGAAATTAATAATTCTGAAAAGAAAGAAGAAACTTCTATCGAAGATATTAAAGAATTATTAAATTTTGATAATGAAGATCTACAAGACTGTGATTTTAACTTCTAAACAGAATATAAAATAATATTGATATTACATAATATTAGGATAGTATTTTGAATAAAATCAAAAAGTTACAATAGATAAAATATTATTTTGGTTATTTTATTTTTATATTAACGATGCAGTATTATATTTAAGTTTAATAAAGTGTGATGCATTTGTAATTTAATTTTAAGTTTTTTTCTAAGACTTATTTATATGTATATGAATTATAGTAAAATAGAAAAACAATTTACTGAGTTGATTTTTAAGTTTCTAATGGCAACAGTATGCTTATTGGTTGAATTCTATCGTATTTTAATTATGAGCTGTTTGCCAGAATATCTTTTCGTATATGATACAAGAAAAAAGCAGATTTGTACTCTGTATTATTTTCATTTGATAAAAATTTTAAACAATAACATATTGGAAAAACTTGTAGATTTGTAAAAGGCGCAAGAATATTAAAATATTTAAAAATAATTTTAAAAATATTAAGTCGTAAAATCTTTTAATCATGGTACGACGAAAATCTCAGCCGAGGTTGGTCAATTTTTCTAAAAGTATTTTAACAGATAAATAAAAAGGAACATTTTTAAATGATAATTTTCAGATGAACTAGTCTCCAAGTTCGTTTTATTTTATCTTTTTCATTTCATTTCTTACGCTTGATCACTTTACAGTTTTAATTAGCTCTTTTTTTTTCACTTATTAAAAAAGAAAAAACAAATAATAATGAATAGATAAGAAGATGGGATTATATTTATGTAATATAAAATTGAAGACATTAATGATATTGATAATTGATTAATTGATAAAATTTGATTAATTTATCATTGTAGATCAAATGTTCAAGTCAGTTCTTCAACACCCAGTGAAAAGTCAGCAGTAATAATATGCATTCCCTTTACCATGGTTATATTCAAATGATCTAAAAGTAAAAAGAATCTTAAATTGAAATTATTATTTTGATAGCGATCGAGAAGACGCGAAGATAAACCATCACGCAAGAGACGCGTATTAAAGGATATTATATATCTTAAAAAGACCACGCATCTACTTATACCAAGAGCTTCGTTTCTTCGTTTAGTTAGACAAGTCTTTATAGAATTATATTCCCATATATATAGGTACTTAATTTCATTCATATTTTAAATATTTTAATTTAAATTTACGAGACACTGATCAATGATACAAGAAAAAAAAGAAAAGAAAATAACAGATAACGATGGTTTTCTTGAACATTTTCAAAGAATACAAGTGATTGCATTAGAGGCACTGCAAGAGGCGTTAGAAATGTATATGGTACAATTTTTCGAAGATTCATTGTTGCTAACCAGTCATGCGAAACGTGTTACACTTCAGTGGGAAGATATGATCTTGAACCGACGATTAAGAGGTCGAGCTGACATTATCAACAAATAAAAATAAAATAAAACTTATAATTGCTCATGAATTTATGTTTAATTCATTATTTTTGCTTACATTAATTAATATACGATAAAAAATAATGATCTATATTTGCGGTTTATATTTTATAAAAAAAAAAGAAAATAAGCGTTATATTTCTTTAATTGTTTGCTTTATCGCACACAAGGGGAATAATTATTTACAATTTATTGATTATATTTACATTTATAATGTATTTTTTTTTTTTTTTCTCTAAATTATCCTAATCGTTAACGTTAGAACGTCGTCGTCGTTAGTCGTCTCTTCGTTATCGTTTCGTTTCGTTTCGTTGCGTTGCGTTTTGCGTAATTACCTGACACGAAATGTTACCAAGGAATTATAAAAACACAAAAATATGAATTTAATAATAATAAATATTTAGGATATTCTGCGTTAAAAATAAAAAAAGAAAAAGAATAATTCGAAATAAATATTTGCAATATACGCACGATTGTAATTTTACTGTACGTCAGAGATCAATTCTCACCAATAGACTTTTATAATAACGTACAAGAGAGGCAGAGTATATATCTTTCGTTCGTTCGCTTATCGTCGCGTATGTTGCTTTGCTAAGAAGACGTTTCTTATACGTTCGAAAAATCTTTCGGTTAATCGTTCAAGGAGCTTTGATTGTGCACTCGCATGAGTTAAGTTGTCATACAAAATTATGGAGGACGAGAAGAATGTAAAATTGAATCATCGAAAAAATGCAACAATGAACGGTTATTTGGAAATTTCCGATTCTCGAGGTGAGTTTACACTACGAGTACATACAGGGTAATTCACGGAACTTTACGTTTGACCCTTAATTTAGTTTAATTATACAGAAAACATTTTATCATACAATTTATATTTTATAAGTTATTTATAGTTTATATTAATTATTAATATTAAATATTAATATTAAATATAAATTGTTAATTATATAGTATTTATGTGAGTAAAGCTATTGTATCATAAATTGCTAAAGTACATCATTATAAATCTTTACATGTCGATCATTTTGAATTACCGCTGTAGAGTAATAAATAAGATTTGTATTTTCTGTTTACACCACACACACATACTTTAGGTTATTTAAATATTAAATAATAATTATTCAAGATATCAAAATTTGATAGAAAGAATTTAATGAATATTTTATTTGAAAAATTAACGTTTTTACAGTTAACGAAGACAAAAAGAAAAAGATGATGAATGAAGCAATAGCTGCTGAAATACGAACACGAATGCAGGTAAGATATTATTAGTTGTTATTTCTTTAATGCGTGTATAAGTTTTCAAATAAATTTTATTTATTATTTATTAAAGTTGTTTACAATATTTTTTTTCCTTAGGAAATTTCGGAGGACATTGTTGATCATGTTAATGTACGCGTTAACTATATGGTATCGGAGGTATTTAACAAATTTGACAAATCACTACAAAATTCGAATGATTTGAATAATAAATACTACGATAAAAGGTTAGTTTTTTTTTCTATTGTTATTGCAAAATATATCGTATTTTTCTATTATGTATTTAAGAATATCTAACGTATTATCACACTCGTTCAAATTCCAATTTTTATCTCGAAGTATAATATCAGGGAAAAAATAATAACTGGTTTAAAATAAATATCAAACAAACTCGAGTGCGCTTGCACTCGGATAAAATGATCACAGTTCAATTCAGTTTACTAGTCTTATTACGTTAGTATTTGATAAAATTTGAAACAAATATAGAAGAAATTAGTTCATGCCATTTATATAGATATGAATGATTCTATAATCACAATATATAAATACGTTCACAAATTCAGCGTAATAAAATTAATAAATCTAATGATATGATTGAGTGTGACCCTTATCTCTCGTTTTATATCTTAAAAGGCCACTAATCTTATTCGTGCTATATGCATCTACCATTCATACGTTCGATTGTGCATACTATTACACCATATAAAATTTTCTTACCTGTATATTATCTCTCTCTCTCTCTTATCATTATAGTATTATGTATATAATATAATTATTTAATGATCTATGCAACAGATGATCATTTATCAATCACTTTATTAATTTTTTATCATTCGATTTTTTATTATACTTGATGTCTGTAAATATGAATACAAAAAATGAATATTTGTATTATTCCAAAGTTACGAAAGTTCATCGCGATCTCATTGTCAATTAATTCATTTCTACGATATCTATAAATGAACGTAAAAGAATTCTTGATATCACATTTAATACACGTTCATGCTCTCCCCAACGATTATGTGTTTTATTAACATTAACATTAGATATTGTACCATCTGTTTCTCTTACTTATTCTCAAAGACAGAGTTATTGTCTAGATTACGAGCCTTCTCGTCGGCTCGAAATTGATAATAGTAACACATGATCGTTGGCGTACATTAAGATTTGAGTACGGAATGATTATTCTCCTTTTCATTTTATTACGTAATTGAGACAAATGCGATGAAAATTATTCGAATTATTTTAATAGGAAAACATTTTTCCAGATCAAACAGTTCAAATAAGGTCAATCATCGCACTTTTATTTATTTATTTAAAACAATAATTGCGTGTGCATTTATCGTCATATACAATCTAAAATATATGTTTACAGATAGTTCAATTTATTTATTCATAAAGTACTTTTGAAAATTATCATTTTTCATAAACTAACATATTATATTTTTGTCTAAATCAAATCAAATTTTGCTTAGTCGCACTTGTGAATTGTTAAAAAAAAAAGTATTAATCCATGATGTCATCACTTCAAATATTTGGCAAACAAAATTTCTAATTTTTCAATTCGATAAAACAATTTTTAAGATACCCTTTATTTTCTTAACACTTAATATATTTATATATTTTAATTTCATTTAAGCTATGTCATACTTGACGAGAAAAACATGTTCTTATTTGATCACATAACAACCCTTTTTCTTGTTCGCAGAAAATTGTCTAAAGAAAGTATTTTACCGGAGAAACAATTTTTAGAAAGAAATTCATTACTTACTGATCTTTTTAATACCAATGAGCATATAAGAACAGTATATAATATATTTCTAACGATTTTAATATTACTTTTTATAAATACTATTACATACGACATCGCGGATGGTGGATCGTAAGTATGATTATTTATATCTTTTATTTCATTGAATATCGAGGAAAAAATATGTGTGAGGGTTGATAAATTTTGAGCTTAAAATAGGAACAATAATTTTTTTCGGTCAACCATTTTTTCTATTATTCGACGTAGTTTCAAAGCTATTAGAAAAGAATAGGGTCAACATTTTTCAACTAACTCACTATCATACAATGCGATTTTATATAAATACAAAAAAGTGACCAATATAATACGTAAATCGACTAATATATAAATACTTTTTTTTCTTTTTTGGGGGTGGGAATATTTTTAGAATAAATGCTGGAATTAATACCATTATATATTCTTTTGGAAAATTATCAAGCGTCCTCTACATTTGGATTTTAATGAAATTAAGCACGTTTGGAATTTACATTCCTGTCTACATCTGGTCGCACAAACGTCTCGATTTCTTGCCTTCATGTAAAAAATACATGGTTCTTTTTTATTCTTTAAAAAAAAAAAAAAAAAAAAAAAAAAAAAAATATTAAAAAAAATAAAAGCATTTTTCTTTTCAAATAATATTAATAATTTACGATATTATTTAATGTAGCGTTTGCTTTGAAAGTATGGGACTACGGATGGCTTGCGGGATATGTGTTATATCTGATTATTTTCATCATCCTACCGAGTAAAGCTGTTGTAGACGAATTGCTACCAGTCGCTTCAAGCACTATAATACTTTTAGAACAGGTAAATTTGTTTTAGAAGTAAATATGTATATATGATCGTCTCGTTACTAAATATCTTTATGACTAGAATTACTTAAATGCAAATTTATTTAAATATATACAAGATAAATACATATATACATATATGTATATATGTATATATAAATTTTTGGTATGAATAAATTTATGAGCATATATTTAAAAAGGTGATTCGTGATCGATTATTTAAATATATTGTGATACACAACTTAAATAATATAGTTCTTAGAGTTAACTCTTTTTTTTTCTTTTTTTTTTTTTATATTTGTTTTCGTTAAATAGGTTCGTATGCTAATGAAATCTTACGCTTTCATAAGAAGTACAACGCCACAATTTCTTAAATACAAAATCCACGCGGATATGACAAAACCAAAACTACCGGATTTTTCCAAATATTTATATTTCTTATTCGCTCCAACGTTAATCTACAGAGATCATTATCCAAGGTGAGTTCAATGAATTCATCCGAGAGATTTATAATTTTTTAATTATATATTTTTACATTATTCTAGGACAAGATGTATTAGATGGAAATTTGTTCTCTGGAATTATTTAGAAATTTTATTGATTATATTTTACATAGCCTTCCTATACGAACGTTTTTTTATGCCAATGTATATAAAACATGGAACGAAACCTATAAAAAAGGAAGAACTGTTAGCCAATATAATTAACACATCCTTGCCTGGGATTCTTTTCTTCCTTTGTGGATTTTATTGTCTTTTACATGCTTGGTTAAATGCTAGCGCTGAAATACTACGTTTTGCCGATCGAATGTTTTACAAAGTAAAGAAAAAAAAAGATTTTTTTGCATCGTTCCTTTTACGCCACCTCCTTTTCCACTTTTCTTTTTTTTTATATAAATTCAATTAATAATCGTCAGGATTGTCATATGATTTCTATGTATTTTCTTTTCAGGACTGGTGGAACTCATCTTCTTATAGCGTTTATTATAGGACCTGGAATGTGGTTGTACACGATTGGCTTTACGCTTACGTATACAAAGATGTGTTTGAAATTTTAACGAACCAAAATAGAATCATTGCAACTTCCTCCGTATTTGTTTTATCCGTATTAGTTCACGAATATATATTGTATTTTGTTTTTAAATTTTTCTGCCCAGCAATATTATTTATGTTTGGTTTTGTTGGCTTTCCTTTAACATTTATCACACGAAAAGTAGGCAATATATTTTTATGGTTTTCCCTAATCTTGGGTAATGGTATAATATGCAGTATGTATGCTGTAGAATTTTTTGGAAGAAAAAACTGTGTTTCGAATCCTGATAAATTCTTAGATTTTATTTTACCGAAAATATTGTATTGCAATCCTAGATCTGAATGAATAATAAATTAAATAAAGAATAAAAATATCGAACTTTAATGAATAGCTTGCAACAATCTATTCTCTTGTAAAATACATGATGTTACAGTATAAGTGTATTTTAATAGTGTTTGAAAGAACTACCAAAATTGTAAATTATGCATTTATATTGATTTATATATATTTTACCAATGCCAATATAAATATAATATTAAAAACTGCCATTTTATGTAGAAACGTTTCTATCTTTTTGTTTTTAACACCAACATGCTTTGCTATTTGTCTATGGTGGACATTCGATGGATTGCCTTAACAGTGAGAGTGATTATAACATATTTTCTCAGCAGAAAACATTTTTAAAATAATCAAAACTTATGTTGCGAGGACAAGAATGCGCTAAGATACTTTGGTATGGTTTTTGTATGGCTTATCCAGTAATCCACAAATTTCCTGCTTTTGTTCGATATTATTTAATCTTTTAAATGTAAAGTGTTAATAATAGGTTCATCGATTAGATCAAATATCTGTTGAGGCATTCGAGTAAATGTAATTGTACGATTTGTGGATTTCTTTTGACTGCGATTGTTCAGCAAATATATTATTAAATGCGCTTAGAAAATGCCTCGCAGTAGCGTTTAGGGCATGAAGAAAGAAGAGGCATTATGCCGAAGAGGCCCCCACAAATTTGTGGTATCAAGTGGGCAACTACACAGACTATTGAGCTATTTTCAAAGGTTCAACAGCAAGTTCGAACTCTTCGAAAATAGCTCTCTAGTCATATTTTATATTTTATTATATTACATTCTTGCTCGTCATTAATTTGTAGTTGCAATTGGAGATGATGGACCATTCCATCTCCTTGGGACACCAAATTCGTGTCTCTATCGTCTAAAAGATGCATATGTATTTAGTTAGAGTCAAAATTATTAAAATTTTTGTAGCCTAAATAATGTTCGGTAAATATTACAGTAATTTCTCTTTTCTTGTTTCGTCTTTAAGATTATTCACTGTGATCGCATTTTATTAAATTTGCAATTTTTCCTTTCTGTATAATGCAGTTTGAAAGTTTTCCTAATAATTAATAGATATTATTTTTTTTTTAGTAACTTAGTATTTCTACTGTTCCTATTTCTTTATTTTTATTTATTTTTATTTATTTCATGTAAATGTAAAATCACGCGTTTGAATTTAATTTTATTGCTACGGTAATTAGAAATTTGATCAAAATAAATAGAGAATTCAATTGAAAAGTGCATCTGCAAATTGGACGATTTATATGTCAGGCTATTGTATCACCTGATTGTATGATTAATATAGTTTTCTTTTTGTTACAGGTGATCATCGTTGGATGTATCATCTACTCGTTTTAATTTCCTTCTACTTGAACTCCTAATAATGACTACTTTTTAAACTATATATATAAATGCATTTCTAAAGGCACACACATGTTTATACACTTAAAATTAAATATAATTATTTAAAATTCTATTATAATATAACTATACTATATATATTATCAAAGAATACTATATTCTTTTATAGTATTGTGTACCGTTATCGCGTTAAGTACCTACTGTCGCCCACCTGTGGTCAGGTTAGTAACTTAGATGAATCTGGTTAGGAAATCAGTGGTTCTGAGAACTTCTATGTACTTCTTTGGTATTACCAAAGAATACATTTTACCGACCAAAAATATGTTTGATTGAGAACTTTCTTTTATCAATCGGTAAGAACCTGTTTTTCACTGCAACTGACAGTTTAATAAACAATATGTAGTAGTGTGTTAATTATAATTCTTTTTCTCATACAAAACTTTATATAAATGTAAGAAGTTAATGAATGAAAAAAACAATCAAATATATTTCATTAGTTCGGTATTAAAACGGTGATAAAAAACTTTTGGCAAAAACTAGTTGGCTGGTGGGTTAGGGGGTGTAGGGGAATCTTTTTTCTTGAGAAAAAATGCAAGTCACTATATTGTGCGGGTAAACAAACCGGCGCCAAATTAAACGATGGGCTACCCCCGTTTGCTCTTCTTTTTCCTTTCTTCAAATATTATCGAGTACTTGTCCTATTTTTCTTTCCCTCATTCTACCTAACTCTCTCTATTTTTTTCTATCTCTATCTTTATTTCTGTCTCACTTTCAACCACCATGATGAGGTGAAGGGTGCAACCAAGAACTGAAAAGCGATGACTAAGGTTACTCTTGATTTTTGGCTCTTTGCCAAAACGAAAAGATATGCGTTAGTGTATACGTATATAGATGTCGAAAAGTAAAGTTTTAAGTAAAGTTAAAAAAATGAAATGGGAAATAAAAAAAAGGAAAAAATTAATAATAGTTAGAGGAACGAAGGTATCAGTGATTAAAAGAGAAAAAAACGAAAATTAGAACAATTCTATCGACGAACACGTAACAGGGAATTAATCGAAGAGTTAGTTGTTTTGGTTGTTTCGTTTATTAAATGTTTTTATTGATTAAAAAATAAATAAAAAAAAAAAAGAAGAAAAATCGAGGAAAACGAACAACAATACAGTTTTTCACTTTTTCTCTCATTAATGGTTTTTTCTTTTTTTTTTTTTCCTATTTATTTTTTCTTTCCTTTTGACAAATTGTTTTGACAGTATTTTATTTTATTAATCATTTATATTGGCCAAAAAAATCTGTTAATTTATTATCCTGAAATAAGATGATAGATGTATATAAACGATAAGTGTGATGAGTATAAATGATTGCGAATAACAGATACATATAAATTCCTAATGGAAAAGGTTTTGGCACACCACATTTCATCGACGTTCCTTCTACTTTAAGTTTCATATTTGAGTAGGCTTTTCCAAAAAGCTGTTCTCTAAAATATGAATTACGTTTTACAAATCTCTTTTCATATCCATTCGTAAGATATGAATTACATTTGACAAATTTCTTCGCTTACACAGTTCTATATATATATATATATTTCTGCCATTTCCTCATATAATATATATTTTTTTATTATTAGATCATTTAAAAAAACTTATGCATATATGCAACGATAGCATATTGCATACGTATGAATCATATCTACCGAAGTTATAGTTTGATAATAAAAAAAAATTTATGTCTTCTCTTCTCGCGCTTTTCTGTCTTTCTATTTTTAAAACTTCGTGAAAGTTCTTATCTTGCTGGCCAAGTCTCTTCTCAATTTACTATGTATGCGTGCATACATATATGTGCTAGGGTGTACTCGTACACAACAATAATACACGAGCCATACGTGACACACAAACGACAACGATCTATTCTCACGCGAAAAGGATAACGGCATAAGTTCTTTATGATTTTTAATATTTTTCACCGTAGCATAAGTCGTAGCTTTCTTAGAAACAATAAGCTTTCTCTATAGTACGAGCCAAACCGTATGACTTTCCTATTCATCACGATTTACTTTTTATCTCTTTTATTTTTTCTTTATTTTCTATTTTGTTTTTTTCTTTCCTTTTATACTCAATCCAATATACGTGACGCGTTTTCGATAAAAACCGTAAAACTTTTTTTTTTATGTTCTATTGCTTTATGATCAATCTTTTTCAAATATATATTTTAAGATTTGTATCTTATATATAAGATACAAAAATAGATTATATTATATAATATATATATATATTATATATATTTTAAGATTTGTATCTTATATATAAGATACAAAAATAGATTATATTATATAATATATATATATATTATATATATTTTAAGATTTGTATCTTTTGATAAAGAAGGTTGAAGATTACAAAGATGGAATATAGTAATATAAGGTTAACGGAGAAGAAAGTACGCGCAATACTATGTTTTAGAACGATAGGCATCTCCAGACTGTGTTCAATGAACTATCCTAACTCTGTTCAATCCATCGACCCTTTCTAGGTAATAAACGACCGTCTAGAACGCATAAAGACTCGTTTCAACTGGTCGTAGATCTTTTTGGCACCTTACTGACAAACTATTTGACTCGTTCGAGTACTGATATTGGCCATGATCGAAACAAGATGATCGTGTTCGCTTTGAAATTTCCTTTTTATTTTCCTCGATATTACTTTATCCATTATTTTTTATATATATAAGTATTATTACTTTCGCTTATTGTGTTAGCAATAAAAATTAACATAAATAGATCGATGAATGTAAACAAAAAAAAAATAAAAAATAAATAAATAATATTTAATGATAAAATTTAACAGGGAACTTGGACATGAAAGAAGTAGAACTTAGTTTGATTTAGTTGGACGTTTCGTCCCTTTATTGGGACTTCTTCAGCAACTTAATCTTTACGGTTCAGCGTCTTTTTTCATTGAGTAGACATACATTTTTCTTTTTATTAATATTCAAAACACAAAACATCTAAACTTCGTTAAATGTTTTGTTAAAAAAAACAAAAGTTTTGTTGAGGAACTTAAATAATAACGATCAATTTAACGAAGTTTAGATGTTTTGTGTTTTGAATATTAATAATAAAAAGAAAAATGTATGTCTACTCAATGAAAAAAGACGCTGAACTGTAAAGATTAAGGTAACATTTAAAAAATTATTTATTGTATGAGCCTCATGTATGTCGTAATATAAGAAATAATAATAAAATAAAATTTCTAGTTGCTGAAGAAGTCCCAATAAAGGGACGAAACGTCCAATTAAATCAAACATAGTTCTACTTCTTTCATGTCCAAGTTCCCTGTTAAATTTTATCATTAAAAATTGTAATTTTTGGACGAGAGAAATACTAAATAAATAAATAAATAATATTTATTCCACATAAGAGATCCGCGTTCTCGAAGGCTTATATCATCGTAATTCTTACTTTTATTTTCTTTTTTTTTTTTCTTTTTCCCTTTCGCTCCGATTTTTCACCAGCATCGTTTTCTACTTTACATTACTCTTCTTTATGTATCTCCTTTTTTCTGAAACGTTAAACTCGATGAAGCTCGTTTACATTCAAGGTAACTCCAGTGTGCCACTTTTTCGCGCACTTTCCGCCACTTATTCCACACTGACTTTCTTTCTTTCTTTCTTTCTTTCTTTCTTCGTATTACTCGTTTATACAATCTACTTACTTTTATTTTTCCCTTTTTCTCTCTCTCTCTCTCTCTCTCCTTTTTTTTTTTTTATATCATCGAGCGTGTCTCTTTCTCTCTCTCTCAAAATCTGTGATACATGTGGTTTCATTGTCTCTGCCGTGATTTCACAGTAGATTAAGCTTTTGTTAAATTAGAATTTAGCATACTGATCGACTCATTTTGCTTATCTTTTACCTTTTATCTTGGGTAACATTGTATTGTCACGTCTTTATTTTGTATTTCTTCTTTTTTCATTTCTGTTTCTTTTTTTTTCTTTCTTTCTTTCGTTTTATTTTATTCCTCTGATTTATTAACATGCATCCTCTCACTCGTTCTTATTAGTTTATGATTTTTTTTTTTATTGTCATTATATCTTCATTCAATTTTTCATTCGATTTTTCATACATTTTTTATCTATTCTCTTTGGTTGGCCTTTTCAAATTTGTATAATTAGTTATTGGAATTGTGATATATAAATTGAAAATAATATAATAGATTTTTATTTTCGCATCTTGAATGAGGTACCGTAATTGATTAATTATTTTTTAATGAACTTTCATGCTAGTTGGTAATAAAAATAAACAGTAAGAAGAACGAACGGCTAAAAAGGTTTTTAAACATTTGCTCGTTTCGAAGTCTAATCTAAGTAAGGCTCCAAATATTTTTGTTTTTTTTTTTTCATTTACCTTTGTTCACGGGCTTGTTTTTTTTTTCTTTTTTACTTCCGTCATATTTCACGCACTAATTAAAAGATCCTGTTATCTTCTTTCTCGTTTACCTTTACGAGATTCGTATATATATATATATATAGGTAAATAGTAAATAACCAACTTTAGTGGATTCCTTTTCGCAAGAGTTCAAGTTGTTTTCGTTCAAATTTTCGTCACTATCTTATTTTCTACTCTTCTTATCGTTGAGTTTTCTTACGTTATATCTTCTTCCGAATTGTTTACGCTATTCTATTTTCTATATACAAAGCTACTATCCCGTTTAAAACATGCACAATATAGAAATATTCTTCTTTTTTTTTTTTTACGTTTGTTTTCTTCTCTACCTAGCATTGTTCAGAAACACTCCCTCTCCTCTTTGTGAAAACATAACTCGTACGCTAATTAACGATCTCGTTATCTTTGCGGGTGATTGAGCACGCGGAAATCCTTACCATCAATTTCATATAACGCGATCTGTGCATGAGAAATATTATTTTTCCTTCCTCCCACTTTCTTCCTTCCTTTCTTCCTTCCTTTCTTCCTTATTTCGTTCCTTCGTTTTCTTGGCCTTACGCATTTATAACTCTTATTGTTGTCCATCGCACGATCGGAGAAGAATAATTGCTTCGTATATATCGAACCATCTCGAATATTTATTTCCAAGTAAACGAAATAATAAAAGGGAAAATATTGTCATTCGAATTTCTGTAATAGACGAGAAAGATAAAAAAAAAGAAAAAAAAAAATAGAAAAGAAGAAATTAATCGAGAAAATTCGTTAGTTAATTTCTACGATGATATATTTTATAATCACCGTTTTTTTTCCAAGATTTACGTTAAATCAATCAGATAAAATTGTTCGTCCAAAGGAGTGTCGAGAAAGTTTCAAAATTTCATTTTGTTTAATTCTCTTTTCTTTTTTTTTTCATCTTATAAAATATTAAATATAATACATAATAAATTGTATAAAAACTAAAGCGAGACATTGTTTTGAAGGATAGCAGCAGCACGAACGACGTTACTGCAGCTTTGGATCTGCAACGTTGAAGATGCGGTGCGGCCCGTTTAAATCGTGCATGCGCAATATTTTAGTGCACATGCGCAAGCTATCTGTCTTATATCTATAAGGGTAGCTACCCTTGTCGAGGTCGGACAGTTCTTGCCTGTCCAGGGTCGGCTCGTGATCGGGAACTAGTCACTGTTTTAGTGATTTGCATCGAGAGGCTGCGCACACCATAGTTTCCTTCTCTCTCTCATGTTTCCTTCGATGACGCGTCATAACACAAAGGCACGACTACCTGTCGTGATGGCGAATACGCGGGAATAATAGTTTCAAGAAATAATAACTCTTAGGAATTTTTATAAAATTTCTTCTTCTTAAAAGAAAAAAAAATACAATAAAGCATTATTTATCTATGAACGAAAGTGTCTAAAATATTTCTATAACTAGAAGAGTAATAATATCTTAACGAGTAAGAAGAATATTCAAAATATATTTCTATTTCGCTCTGCGTTTATTCGTAAAGCCTCTTTCTCGATAAAAAAATAATGATATATATATATATGTATATGTATATATCATTATTTTTTAGTTTTCAAAGTGATCGATTAATATAACCCGCGCGTTTGTTAATAACAGATTTGAAAATTAATTTATCGTGAACATTGTGATGAAAGGAACATTGTTAATTAATTAGATCTACATTTGCCGATAATGAGACACGATGTGTAATTAATATATGTTTATCGACGGTACCCTCCAAGTCAAATTTAATTTTAAACTCAGTCGCATCGTTTTTAGTCATTGTCAATATAACGATTGTTAACATTTGAATTTATTAACTTTAATAAAACCAATAATTATTTAATATGCCGTATAAGGACACACGTGTATTTATATACTATTCGGTTGAAAATTCAATATCGATCTGTATCAATCATAACATATAGATATTTAGATTAAAATTGTTTGACATGTGTGTTTATACGTATATGGTGAAAAATATATATAGTAAAGTTTCTGTTAAAGGAACATTATAATATTCTCTATAGGATTGGCTGGGTTTTTTGTACAGTAGCTATATACGAAAGGATCCCTCTTAAAATTAGTCTTTGGAAAAGGGAATACTAACGAATTAGCAAACCTCTCTTTCGAACGAGGATCGAGGAGATTCGTCGGAGTAAAACTTTTCTCAAGATTTCGAATATCGTAACGATCGTGTATTTACTTTAATTAACGAGCTCTAATTTATTCGCGTGTTGATTTGTAAAAATTAATGAGAATCGGTAAATTTTCCAGCTTCGATACTTGCTACTAGGTGGTACTATATATATATATATATATATATATACGTATACTATATTTCAAGAAAACTCGTCGAGCTTAAGAAACTTAGTTTTAATGGAAAATATATATTCGAACATATCCAACGAAGCTCCTTCGCTACGCTTTCACAGTTAGCTCGTTCTTTGATCGTCGAGATATTTTCTTCGTGCATGAGAGTTAAGTTCTTTTAGAGTATAAACCGTGCTTTCTACTTTTTTTCTTTACCTGAACTTCCAAAGGAAAAACTTTTTCTCAAGATTCGACGAAGATTTTTTCACGCCATCTAACGAAAGCTTGAAAGAATAAGAAGAAATAAAAAANTTTCTACTTTTTTTCTTTACCTGAACTTCCAAAGGAAAAACTTTTTCTCAAGATTCGACGAAGATTTTTTCACGCCATCTAACGAAAGCTTGAAAAAAAAAAAAAAAAAAAAAGAAAAAAAAAATAGAAGAAGAATAATAATAAAAAGAAAAAATCTTAAAATCGTCATTCTAGGCGACACATATCCAATATACATATGTAACATATACACACGTAATGCCGGTAATTATGACAATGGACGACGAATAGATGAAAAAGAAAAAACAAATTGTAAAAATCACTTATACGATTTATTATCTACACATAAAAAATTATTTATATTATAAAATAAAATTATATATGAAACACAACAAAGAGTTGTTGAATTTTTGTTTATTTTTTGTTCAACTCAAACCGCTATCATAATTACCGTCACAATTATTATATCACATACCCCTACACGCATATTATTTTCTATAAAAAATATATAAATATTGAACGCGAAAGAGTCGGACAAAAAATGGGGACGTGAATTTTTCACTTTGAAAAGTGTTTCTCGAAAAATAATAATTCGACGTAGCACGAATTGGAAAATGATTAAACGCAATAACCACCCGTCGCGATTCGTTGACGCGTCCATCGTGCGAGAATGAACCTTTAATCCTGGTTACGAGTAAAGTGGGTCGAATCTTCGTTAGGGTGGAAATTAGAATGGGTTTCCGTATGCATTATCTTCGCAGAGAGATCGATATCAGAATTGTTAGGTAATTACTATAGTGCGTCCTAAGTATAATTCCAAAATCGATTACAGACGAAGATCGAGAAATGGATTTTCCGTGTTATGATTAGATCAACGATCAATTACTATTTTATATTATGTCAAAGAAATCTCTTTTGGATAAACCCAAATATTTCTTTGATTGTTCATTCGATTCGTATTTTCTTTTTTATCTTTCTTTCTTTAAATCCTTTTTATTATTATTGTTTTTCTTCTTTTTTTTTTTTAATCCAATAACGAAATGTAGAAAGAATCTTCATTCCATTTGTGTATTACTTTCATTGAGATTTTTGAAAGGAATAAAACGAGAGGAGAGAGAGTGAGAGAGAGAGAGAAAGAGAGAGGCTTTCAGGCGAGTCGAAATAGAAAATTTAATAAAATCCTGACAACTAGACAGAGAAATAAAGAGAAAGAGAGAGAGGTAGATAGATAGATAGACAGTTAGAGGTAGCGAGAGAGAGAGAGAGAGAGAGAATGATATGTGATAAAATATAGAAAGAAAATAAATTGATTTTTCAGAATAGAATAATATGAAATGCGATGACTTTAGGATTACTTTAAGTTTCTCTTATCGTTGAAGCATATTGCTCGTAGTAACAAGAGGACGATTAAAGGGTATCAAGATTTAATAGGGAGAAAGAAAAAAAAGGGTAATCGAGAGGCGATAAAATAAAGGAAATGGGGGTACGTGATGTGGATCAAGCGAAGCGTCGGCTGCAAGATATCTTAAGGAAAGCTCAAAAGCTAGAAATACCAGCACAAGAGGTTATATCCACGAGGACTGCTCAGAAACTACTAGCCAGAACGAAGAATGTTGTTGCGTGGACGATCTGGATCGGTGTTTTCATTATTCTACTCAGTTTCGTCGTTTACACACGTTGGCCGACAAGACAAGAAGTTGAGACGGTTAGGACAGTACTTAGGCGAACAGTAAGTGATTAATAATTATAATAATAATGTATAAAGTATATTCAATTAACAAAGTAGTATGTTATCATTAAATGTGTAACATAATCCTTTTAGTAAATAAAAAGTTTCTCTTAATTATATAAAAGTTGAACAAAAATAAGTGGTCTCTGTTGTGTCGTAGATAAGATTCCGAGTAAATACAAGAGCTGTAAATGAGATCCAACGTAACATTTTGTTTCATTTCTATTTATTTCATTTAATTGGTGTCAATAAAATTTAGGTCATTTTGATTATTTTTTTGAGGTTAATTTTTTTGTTTCGTTTTTTTTATATTAAAATCGATCATCATTTTAAGATTCAGGATATAATATATTATTATTGTAAAAGGATACAATTGGAAGTTAATAATTGTTTCCATTGTTTGGTATTGATAAATGTGTGTTTTTTTTATTTTTTCGATTAATTAAACGTAACAAAAGTTAATTCGAGCAATTGTATTAAATACGAATTAAAAAGTGTTGTGACAAAAACGAAAGCTTTAACAATGAGAAAAGTTGCGGACGTATCTTAACTAATGACTATAGTAATTTAAGTGCCATTATACCAGCATTATTCTACGTGATACAACTCGAGAGGTCCGCAGAAAGAACTCGATGCTTATATTAGATCATTTAACGATTATTCGATATTTAAATTATATATATATATATATACGCATATATAATAAATTATTTTTAATTCGATACTTTAGCGAAAAAATCGTTAATTATTTTTCCACCGATCTAATAATAATATTTATAATATAATATCAAATACGTAAAATATACAGATAAATTAGAACTTCTAAGTTGTACCAAAATCATTATTATTTCAATGTTTTATTTGCATATTGTTCGAAACAGGGAGAAAGAGGAATACATTAAACGGACAAGAGAATGTTTTGGTGTTGTTGGTTGTAGAATAAGCTTTTCGTATGAACTATAAAGCAACGAAATGGAGCGTCAAATCGGCCTGCTTGGCTTTCAAAACTGTTCAACCTAGACTACCGCATGCTTCGGTCAAAATGATTCGACACAGGATACTCGTAAGGATAACTTTATCGAAGCAATAAGATTTTTTTTCTAAAGCGTTTCACATATCTCGATGGGTAACGTTAGAGTAGGATTCGATATCGATCCCCAACACCCCGTGTGCTGTTCTTCCATTAGATTTTTATTTTTTATCTTTCTCTCTCTCTCTCTCTCTCTCTCTCTCTCTCTCTTTCTATCTCCTTGTATAGTTTCCCCAAAGAAATTTTCATTCGAAAATAAAACGAACGAATTTTTGTTTTTCTTCTTTTGTTCACGTACATGTATGCACGCATATATACATACATACGCATATATATATATATCCATACACAAAGACAATAAAGTTACCAACTGACATCGAGTTTTTCCTTTAAATTTTTTTCTCCTACTCGTATTATTTTATTTTATTATTTATTTTTTTATTCTTTTTCCAATTTTTCTCTTAGAAATTGGTGTTTAGATATTTTTTCATAGAATATCGAATATTTTTTGTTTGTTTTGTTTTTACAAAAAGGAAATTTAATGACAGTTTAGCTTTGTTCGCGAAATTTGCGATAGTTAATTACAATCATTCGATCATGACAATTTACTTTCTATTTAAAAATTGTTATTTTTTATTTAATTAATTAATAGATAAACAAAAAAAGATTCTTGCTTTCGTATTATAATGAGTTCAATAGTTAAACTCTGTTACGAACTTGGAAATTTTTCCTTCCTATACGTGTATGTATTTTTTGTTGTTGTTGTTGTTTGTTTGTTCTCTTCTTTTCATAATGTCGATACAAAGAAACGATAGCGAATAAAATCGAGTTCATGATATTTATTATACTACGTTGGCAACTGTAATGGCCGGCATACGAATAGAAGGAGGAATAGCAGCGCGGCATGGAAAATTCAGATCGTAAATGGAAGTGTGCAAACAATTGTTATCGAGTAACCGTTTCCACCGACGCGACGAGTACAGTAGTTGAAGAATAAAAGCCGATCGATCTCGATGTAAACGTCGTTGCAATTCACGATTTTCCGTGGCATTGTACGATCGTTTCTCTATAAAGCGTGTCTATCGAAGAAACCGAAAGGAAAAGTGTTAAATCGATATAATAAACATCTTATAATATTAATTAAAATCTATCGGGGTGAAAACAAACTCGCTTAGATAGATATTCTCTGTTAAACATTTATAATACTAAAACATTACTTTAACCAAAACAAATCATACAAGATACTTCGATCGTGGCATATCACAAAAATAAACATTGCTGAAATATGTTTTTCGTAGAGAAAAAAAAAATATTCGAAATCAGATTCATTTTTCTCTTAAGCGGCATTATTCAATATCATGTTCAACCATATAAGATACATAATACACATTTGTTTGATAATCTAATAAAAATTTGTATAAAAAACGTAAATCAAATGATTAAAGTTATTTCGTGTAAAACACAGTAATAATAAATATTTCAATGTTTTATAGACAAAAATATTGGAATAAAAAATATTTTGGTGATATTATGTTGACGATCTGATTTTGAATATATTCTATTTTACCGGAAGTTATTGAAAAATTGTTTCAATCATTATGTTAAAAACTCATTACTATATCATATATTTTAAAAAGAGAGCAAGGATCGTATTCAAGTACTTAAGTAAGTACTTAAGTACATATTTATCTGACGTTCTCAAAGTACTCTGTCGTAGTTACGCGGAAATGGGTTCTGGCATCTTCATTTCCTGTAGCTCAGAGTTGTAACCTCAAGTTCGGCCGCGTCACCATTATGGTGTAACGGGATATAATTCCAGTATGACGTGACATGCATGTCAATGTCGTTGACAGCCAACAACGTGGTTTCTGAATTATCACCAAATCGCATAGCTCCTCGTGCATCACGTCTGTCTGTGTCGTTAAGTGTTCCATCCAGCAACCAGGATGGATAAGATTTTTCAATCAAATTTTCTTCGATCGTTTTTATGTTTACTTTGTTAAGTTACACATATATGAGCCGTTTATTTTCAAAGTGGCCTAATTCCGTTTTTCAGTTTTTTTCCGGTTATCATGATTTCGTGTATAACTTTATGTTATTTATCAGTAAAGCATTTCAGGTTGCTTATAATCCGAGCAAATACGATAATTCTGGATACATAAGTTTTCAGAGTTAGTTTAATAATCGAACCGTGTAGTTTAAAAGTGGCCTAACTCCATTTATACTTAAATAATCAAGATAATATATTTACTATTGATAATGTCGGAAAGTAGTGATGAAGGTAATATTAATTAATTAGTTTAATTATCAATATTCTTGTCCAAACAATATATTAATATATAAGTTTCAAAGGGAATTATAGACAGTTAATAAATCTGATGAACAATTTATTTTGAACTTGTTGAACGTTTCGTCCCTTACTGGGGACTTCCTCAGCAACTAAAAAATTTTTTATTATGACTTGTTAAAAAATATAAACATTACAATAAACTCTAATTTTTTTACCTTGATCACTTAGTTCACGCGTCAATACATATTATCTTATTTCCAGAGTCATACATTACAAAAAAAAAAAAATTTTTAGTTGCTGAGGAAGTCCCCAGTAAGGGACGAAACGTTCAACAAGTTCAAAATAAATTGTTCATCAGATTTATTAACTGTCTATAATTCCCTTTGAAACTTATATATTAATTAATTAGTATTTACAATTTAACCTAAGTTTTTGGACAATTGCGTTAGTTGAATAACCTGTAAGTTTAATTTATTTATAACTTAAAATTTACTATTAAATTTTAGAAATCATTTCACTTATGACGAAAAACAGAACAAGACTATTAATTAGTTCAGATAGTGAAGAGGAAATAGTATTTAATAATTTAGAAAAAAAATCGAAAAAGAAACCGAATTGTACAACAATATTCGTCTTCAGAGGATGAAGATCCGAATAATAATATAGAAAAGATTGATGCACCATAAATCCAAAAAGTGCTAAAGATTAAACGAAACTCAGGAAAAAGATATTACACTAATACCGGAAATATTGTTCCTGAAAAAATGTTCGAAAACAAAGATTGTGGTTGTTTGTAATTTTCTATGTTCTGTAATAAATTAAAAAAATGTTTTCAATCGCATAAATTATGTTTCCGAAGTGTTTTCAACATATATAAAACAAATTCAATATTGTTTTTTTTTTCAATTTGAAACATCTTAAATTATGTTGAATGGACTTGGGCACCTTCAAATTTGATAATGAATCTGGCTGTTAATTTTGAAAGTGGCCCAACTCCATTCTTGATAAGAAAACGCATATTATTCACTTAATAATTGCCATTATTTTAATGAGAACTGTAAATTTAACATCCTTAGATACGCTTAAGCAGTATAAATCATTAGTATCTTATACGTATATTTTTCAATTCATTGAAACGCAAAACTTGAAATATCTCGATTTGAAGATAAATGGAGTTAGGCCACTTTCAAAATAAACGGCTCATATATATATCTCGAAGAAACAATTTTTCCAAACAACAATTGATTTTCATGTTATTCGAGCAGACGTATTCGCGAATTTAACTTTTGTTGGTTGGAATTCAGGTGTTTTTACGTATATATTTCTTTTGATCTTTTATAGTACATACACATACTCGTGATTTTAAAGGTCCATAGTTCAAACAAGAATAAATCCATTTATCTGTCGATGCGTGTCAACTTGGTATCAACGCGAACGAATCGATTTGTTTTTTTTTTTTTCATACAAGATTTACTTTCGACGCTCCAAATAAAGAATAATCTCGACGTAAAAGTAATGTCCTATCTTTTTTTTTCTTTTTTTCTTCTTCTTCTCCCATACGATAGAAGTATTATGTGATTTTAATATGCGAAACAAAATTTTGTCTTTACATTTTCTTCATCGTTTATCTGTTATAATTTTTTTTTATTTTCCGTGTTTACTCATTTTATTCTATTTTTT